TTTTCGTGTTCTAACAAGATTCTGGAAAACACAAATGGAGTGGAAAATGAAATGACGATTTAAAAAGAGACTTCAGTACTGAGAAAAAGAAAACTCTGAGTTGGAAATCATGGAATCAGAGAATCAAAGAGTTGGAAGAGTCCTCATGGGCCATCCAGTCCAACCCCCTGCCAAGAAGCAGGAATATTGCATTCAAATTACCCCTGACAGATGGCCATCCAGCCTCTGTTTAAAAGCTTCCAAAGAAGGAGCCTCCACCACACTCCGGGGCAGAGAGTTCCACTGCTGAATGGCTCTCACAGTCAGGAAGTTNTTCCTCATGCTCAGATGGAATCTCCTCTCTTGTAGTTTGAAGCCATTGTTCCGCGTCCTAGTCTGCAAGGAAGCAGAAAACAAGCTTGCTCCCTCCTCCCTGTGGCTTCCTCTCACATATTTATACATGGCTATCATATCTCCTCTCAGCCTTCTCTTCTTCAGGCTAAACATGCCCAGCTCCTTAAGCCGCTCCTCATAGGGCTTGTTCTCCAGACCCTTGATCCTTTTAGTCGCCCTCCTCTGGACACATTCCAGCTTGTCAATATCTCTCTTGAATTGTGGTGCCCAGAATTGGACACAATATTCCAGGTGTGGTCTAACCAAAGCAGAATAGAGGGGTAGCATTACTTCCCTAGATCTAGACACTATGCTCCTATTGATGCAGGCCATAATCCCATTGGCTTTTTTTGCCGCCACATCACATTGTTGGCTCATGTTTAACTTGTTGTCCACGAGGACTCCAAGATCTTTTTCACACGTACTGCTCTCGAGCCAGGCATTGTCCCCCATTCTGTATCTTTGCATTTCGTTTTTTCTGCCAAAGTGGAGTATCTTGCATTTGTCACTGTTGAACTTCATTTTGTTAATTTTGGCCCATCTCTCCAATCTGTCAAGATCGTTTTGAATTCTGCTCCTGTCCTCTGGAGTATTGGCTATCCCTCCCAATTTGGTGTCGTCTGCAAACTTGATGATCCTGCCTTCTAACCCTTCATCTAAGTCATTAATAAAGATGTTGAACAGGACCGGGCCCAGGAGGGAACCCTGCGGCACTCCGCTCGTCACTTCTTTCCAGGATGAAGAGGAAGCATTGGTGAGCACCCAGTGCTTCCTCTTTGAAGATTTCACTTAATACAATAATAATTTAATGTGTTGTCGAAGGCTTTCATAGCCTGAATCACTGGGCTGCTGTGAGTTTTCTGGGCTGTATGGCCATGTTCCAGTAGCATTCCCTCCTGATGTTTTGCCCACATCTATGGCAGGCATCCTCAGAGATTGAGGGGTCAACCTCTGAGGATGCCTGCCATAGATGGAGGTGAAACATTAGGAGAGAATGCTTGTGGAACATACAGCCCAGAAAACTCACAGCAACCCAATAATAATTTAACAAAAATATAACCATTACCACCCCCAGCTCCTTCAAGGTGAATCCAGTCACTTCAAGGATGTCATCCATCCATCTTGCCTTTGGTCGGCCCCTCTTCCTTTTTCCATTTCCCCCAGCATAATTGTCTTCTCTAGGCTTTCCTTTCTTCTCATGATGTGGCCAAAGAACTTTATGTTTGCCTCTACTATCCTTCCCTCCAATGAGCAGTCGAGCTTTATTTCCTGAAGTATGGACTGGTTGGATCTTCTCGCAATCCAAAGCACCCTCAGAACTTTCCTCCAACACTACAGTTCAAAAGCATCTCTCTTCCTTCGCTCAGCCTTCCCTATGGTCCAGCTCTCACATCCATAGGTGGCTATGGGGAATACCATTGCTTTAACTATGCAGATGTAAACTACCTTTATATTTTGAATTCTGTTTGCACAACTGAAGAAAACTATAGATATTAAGGGAAAGTGGGAGGAAGAGAGAAAAACGGGGATCTTTTAAAAACAGTTGGAAAAGTGGGATGGCAGAGTATTAGTTGGGACTGTCCTTGCATATATTGTGTCCAATTTGGCCTCCAAAAGCCCTGGAGAGTCAATGCTGGTTGGGATCCAGATCTGTTTTGGTGTTATACCCCTTCCCCACATTTGTGTCACTCAGATATTTCTCACTCTAGTTAAGATTACTTGTTTGTTGATGCTGTTGTGTTCACTCAAGTAGTTTCTTATTTATGGCAACCTGAAGGTGATCTTCTCACAGGGTTTTTTTTTTTTTGTCAAAAGGTATTCTCTGCCTTTCTGTGAGATTGAGTGGGACTTGCCCAAAGCCATCCATGGCCAAGCAGGGATCCAAAACCTGTTCTCCAAAGTTATAATCCAACTCTTAAACCACTCCACGATGTTGATTCTCTACGATACTTTTAGAAGGAGCTAAAGCTGAGGTTTAATTAGTCTCATATATGAAGCCGTGGAAGAAAACACGGTGGTTTCACTATAACCAAATGTAGGAGCCACTGTTGTGTTCATTGCCCATTCATATCTATAGAATTGTTCTGCAGGCATGTGAGAAGACATTAATATAAAAATACGATATTTGAGTCTCCAACACACTGGTGAGAAAGCATTTTCAGCATGGAAAGCATTTTTCTTTCTTTCATCCCTTTTCTTTTCTGAGCTCTTAGTGTTGGTTTATGAGTCATAGGAGACCAATCAATTTAGCCTTGAAGCTCCCCAGCTCAGCCTGAATAAAATGGCATATAAATGGCTTTATAGATGTTGCATTGCTTAATGTTCATTCTGGTCTTGAGTAACATAAGCTTTTACATGTGAAACATTAAAATATAATGTCATAGCAACATCATTTTCCCATATAGCTTCCAAGATTTGGTATTATTTGATCTAATTAAATTAATTCTTCTGATAATGTCAATTTATTTTGTACTCAGGCAATTTGATATATTTTGTCTAACATGTTGACTTTGAGGCCTGCATAGGTTTAGTTTACTATATATTTTTTTCATGCCTAATGAATTTACATTACTTTTGTCAAAACAAGTATTCCTCTTTAATAAACTTTCTCAAGCTGGTGTCCTCTAGATCAGGCATGGGCAATCTTGGCCCCTCCAGATGTTTTGGACTAAACTCCCACCATTCCTAACAGCCTCAGGCCCTTTCCTTTTCCCCCTCAGCCGCTTAAGCGGCTGAGGGGGAAAAGGAAGGGGCCTGAGGCTGTTAGGAATGGTGGGAGTTGTAGTCCAAAACACCTGGAAGGCCCGAGGTTGTCCATGACTGCTCTAAATGTTTAAGACAACTCCTACCAATTCCTGCCCTGGTCTTACCAAAATTGCTAGTGAATTAATATTTATTAACAAACATCTTTCTTAATGTTTATACTCTAGGAGATTCCTGAAAAGGAAATACTCTGGTTAAAGATAAGAACAATATGGTTTACGAAAATGTTGGGTAGATAGGTTTCAGTTTGGACAAATGGACAAAGATGCAAAGAACTGCATTTTGGATGTTGTAAGACAGAGATGGGCAGTTTCCCAGAATTAGGGGTTACATTGCTTCTCTCTGGAATATACCAATCACAGACTTCCCCAACTCTTGTTTCTACTACCACCAGAAAGCCATTGACCCTGTTGGGAAACATAGTATGTGGAGGAAAAACTACTTTAAAAGTAATTACGGTACTTTAAAAATAGCACTGTGCTGGGGATTTCAGAGTTCTAGTCCAAAAAAGGAACAATTTTCAGTCCTGGTATGAGGAGTTGCTAGAGGAGTTCATATGAGGGCATATCTTCTTTCCAGGAGAAATTGCACACCCAATAATCCCATCTAGTAGTATGATTTTGTTCCAGGCAAACAGCAGTGGAATCTATTATAGGAAACTACAAAGTTATAGGGAACACATGCTGTATTTTATAATTACTAATAAATAAACTATAACAATGTTAATGTTGATGCCGAACGAAACAAGGTATTTCTTTCTGTGTCAGAAGCAACTTGAGAAACTGATTATGTGAGACATTTTTATTTCATCCAGAAATTACCACTGTGTGTGTGTATGCCTTCAAGCAACCCTTTGACTTCTGGCAACCTCATATATTTCATAGAGTTTTCTTAGGCAAGGAATACTCAAGAGATGGTTTTGCCCATTCCTTCCACTTAAATTTAACCTACAGCATTTGGTGTTTGTTAGCAATCCCCCATCCAAGTATTAACCAGAGGTGACTTTGCTTAGTTGTGTGTGTGTCAGGAGCGACTTGAGACACTGCAGGTTGCTTCTGGTGTGAGAGAATTGGCTCAGGGGATGCCCAGATGTGTTACCATCCTGTGGGAGGCTTCTCTCATATCCCTGCATGGGAAGCTGGAGTTGACAGACAGGAGCTCACTCCATCTCACGGATTTGAACCGCCGACCTTCAGGTCAGCAGTTCAGATGGCACAAGGGTTTATTTATTTATTTATTTACTTTATTTCTATACCGCTTTTTTCAGCCCTCAGGCGACTCAAAGCGGTGAACAACATCAGTACAAAATATGACAAAACAAGTATAGGGCAATTAAAAACAATTATCGCATAAATCATTAACATCAGTATAACAATCATTAGCGCCTCAACAGTAAAATCAGAATCCAGTCTCGTCATCCATTATTCCGTATTCCTATGTTCAATTACACTGTTTAATCAAATGCTTGTTCGAACAGCCAGGTCTTCACTTTCCTCTGAAACGCCAGCAGGAAGGGGGCCAATCTGATATCTGCAGGCAGGACGTTCCACAGCCGAGGGGCCACCACTGAGAAGGCCCTGTCTCTCGTCCCCGCCAAGCGCACCTGTGATGCAGGTGGGACCGAGAGCAGGGCCTCCCCAGATGATCTTAGTGTCCTAGTCGGTTCATAGGAGGAGATGCGTTTGGAGAGGTAAGTAGGGCCAGAACCACAATAGGTTTAACCTATTGTGCTACCGCGGCTCCTAACAAAGTATTGTTGAGTATATAGTTTCAATATTTTTTTTCTCAGAAAGAAATATTTTTACTGTGTCTATTAGAACAGAAGCATAGTAAGCAATTTTTGGTTTCTCTTTCTGTTACAACAGTTCCTTTATGCTAATTATATTGCTCCTTCTGCCACTATGGATATTGGGCTAAAGCAGGCTATCAAAACAGAGATTTATTCAAAAATTGAGCCACCATTTGAAGATCTTTTTGACTCGGCAGAAGAACACATCCTTACTCTTCTATTAGTTCCATGGATGAAGATGGTGGAACAAGACAGAGAAATCTATAGGAAGGTAATTTAGAAGAGAAGCTGTGCTGGATCAAACCAAAGATTTATTATTCTCTTCTCACTGCAACTACCCAGTTGCTTATGAGAAGCCCACAGCAGGGCAAAACTGTGGTGCATTGTCCAAGTTTTTTTTTCCTCAACAGCATTCAAAGCTCTCAACACTGGAGCAATAGAAACATAACCCTCACAAGGAGTGGCCATTGATAGCTTATTCTCCATGCATTTGTCTAATCCCCTTTTCAAGCCATCCAAGTTGGTTGCTTTCACTGTATTCTGTTGTTGTCAATCCCATTGTTTAACCCTCGAGTGAGAAGCATGGCTAACTCTCAGAAGAAATGTTTCCTTTAGCTCAGTGGCTTCCAACGAGGGACCACTTTGACCAGGAACCACTTGACCAGAGACCACTTGAAAAGGGACCACTTTGACCAGGGGCCAGTTTCCAACATTAGCATCTAAAGCAGTGGTTCTCAATCTGGGGTCCCCAGATGTTTTTGACCTTCAACTCTCAGAAATCCTAATAGCTGGTAAACTGGCTGGGATTTCTGGGAGTTGTAGGCCAAAAACATCTGGGGACCCTAGGTTGAGAACCACTGATCTAAAGGGTTACAAATCGGTTTTTGGTCAACTTTAGATTTGGTTTTGTTATTTGAGGTTCTGATTCAGAAAATTGTATTGGGTAGACCACATCAGCTCTAGTTTCTGATACAGAACATATGCCATCCAGTACTCCCCATCTGCTCACCCACAGAAAACCATATTTAATAATCTAGAGCTAATGTGGTAGTAGTAATCTCTTGTGGGTAGTCAGCCTCTCCCTTTCTGACATCCCCATTCCCTCGGCACTATAAGAGGGTTTTGTGAGACCAGTCGCTGTCACTGCTACATGGTTTTGAGGCAACAATGTAGTAATGGTGAGGCCGTGGACCATATTTTCATTCTTGCGGACCACTGGTGGTCCACGGACCGCAGATTGGGAACCACTGCTTTACTGAATTTTTCCTTGAATCATTTGCTTCAGGGGATGCAACATCCATGGACATGCCTTCGAAACATCTGCCTTGCTGTTGGCGAATGTTGCTCTTTTCTACCCACTGTCTCTGGCAGCCTGCCTCTCCTACCTCTTCATCTTTCTTTTCTATAATGCGCACTGTGTGGATGACATAAGATATTATTTTTATTAGGTGGAGCTGGTGGAAGAAACCCGACAGCTGGACTCAGTGTTCCTTAAAAAGCTGCAGGCTTTGCATGAAAAAAGTATTTCCAAGAAGAGTGAGGTAAGACAGGCACCTACTAGTGAAAATAAATTCTTTTATTTTTGCCTACCATCACGAGCTTCACACTTTGTATTTCCTGGCTGGAACAAAAGTTGTGAGAAATAGTAGTATTTTGCATGCCAAGCCTGAGCCTTGGTGGTTTTCTAGAGGAGCTCTTCACGTGAAAGCCCACTTCGTACAAACAAACTGCAGTATAGCCTGAGGGGTGTCATATGCATTTAATGAGAAATGGCTTGCTGAACCAATTCACAATGTTAATCAGCTCTCTTTCTCTGTTTTTCATCAGTGGTTGATGCTTACCATTTTTAGGATCTTAATTTTCTGGGTGGCACAAGCTCCGCAGGCGGTTTCTGTGACTAGGGACGTGATCGCACACAGATGGTGACCTGGCACAGCAGGAGGACCATCACCTTTGGCAGTGGCTCCCATTGCCCAACTTGTCAGTCCACACTCTTCTCATTATGAAGCCAGCAGAGGCTACTGTGAAATGCCTGTAAAAAAACCCCAAAAAACGAGAGGAAGTGGCACAGCAGCAGGGCAGAATTATGCTACTTACCCGGAAGTGCAGCTTTATACAGCTACTGCACCACAATTGCATGATGACAGTAGCTATATGAAGCCGCACATCACCATGACAGCAAATTGCTGCTATCTGGCTTCACGTGAATGGTGCAGCATAGTGGCAAGCATGGAGTAAATCCTTACCATCCAAAGAAGTTGCTTTCCCAAACTCTGGCTCTTACTTCAATCATATTACCATGACAGGAGTTTTACAACCATTATCCTTGGTAGAACATGTCCAACTGCAAATCTTAATGCAAGTAGCTGAAACTTTAATCATTGGTCCTGAAATCCAGTTCTGTGGAAGAGCTATGTGTCCAAAGAAGAAAGACAGAGAAATCTATAGCAGTTAGCTGGGTTACGAAGTTATCTGGATTTAACTGTACAATTCTTTCACTATAGATTTTGGCAGTGAAAGAAGACGAGATCCTAGAGCCCTCTGATTCTGCTAAAATTGCAGAACGCCCAAGTCTGATCCTCCCCGAAGAGTATAAGTCGTACAGCATTTTTGAATTGTTGCGCAACCGGCTGGCCCTGGAACAGTTCAGACTCTTTCTTGAACAGCAGTCCGCCAGGTATTTCTGCTATGCCAGAGTGTGACGTTACCATGAAAACCTATCTTCTTGGGGGATACACATCTCCTAACCAGGCACACAAAGGTTAAAAGGTTTTCCCTTGACATTTAGTCGTGTCTGACTCTGGGGGGTGGTGCTCATCTCCATTTCAAAGCTGAAGAGCTGGCGTTGTCCATAGACAACTCCAAGATCATGTGGCCAGCATGACTGCATGGAGCGCTGTTACCTTTCTGCAGAAGCAGTACTTATTGATCTACTCACATTTGCATGTTTTCGAACTGCTAGGTTGGCAAAAGCTGGGAGCTCACCCCATCCGTGGTTTTGAACCGCTGACCTTCCAATCAGCAAGTTCTGCAGCTTTGCGGTTTAACCTGCTGCGCCACCATGCCCCCCCCCCCAGGCACACCAATACCCATTAATATTGGACTGCAGCTCACATCACCCCCAGACAACTAAGAATGTAATCTAATACTCTGACAGTCACAACTATGAGGATATTATGTCCAAAGCAAAACAAAATCCTATTGCACCCGCAAGAATTGGTCTTTTGGGCTCTTGAGTTGCCAGCCGATGGCATTCATGAGTAGCTGTGAGTGCCTGAGCTCATGCAAAATACACAGAAATGTGCTTTATTTCTGAACCACACCCCTTCTCCAAGAAACACATGAGGATCTTTTGGATTAAGGTCACAATTTATTAAAGTGCTAGAGAAAATAGATACCACAGAAATATTTTGTTCCTTTATTTGTAGTGTCGACCTCATGTGTTGGATAGACATTGAACAGTTCAGGAGGATGCTCCATAAAAATAAAGCACAGCGAGAAGAAAAATGTAAGGAGATTAAAAATAAATATCTAAATAAGAAATACTTCTTTGGACCTGACAGTCCAGCAACAAAAGAGGAACAAGAACAGGTAACTGTTTGCTTTTTAAAATCTTAATAAATACTCCTGCTGTATATTCATTTTCTTATTGCATTTGCATCAGGAGAATTCTGTTGACATCCATCCTGTGCCCCCCCCCCCAATTATTAGTGGTGAAATTGTATTTGAAATCTAGCACATCAATGACTGCATCAGATTTACTGTCGCTAAAGTCTTCGTGATGTAAGATGTGGACTACAGTTTCATTTAACTGCGACATCTTGCAACCAAAACCAGATCCACATGGAAGCTTCTTTTTCATTATGCCTTCCCACAAAGCATGTCAATGATATAACCCATATGTCTTGGGCAGATTGTCCTTCCCACAATAAGCATTCCTATGTATTTATTCTATTCATTTAATTTATTCCCACCATTCTCCCATCAAGGGACTCAAAGCTTAAAAATTTTAAAATAAGAGTTTAGGTATAACTGTATTATTATAAAAGTTTTAAAAAGCAACTAAAGAAACCTGGTTCCATTACCTGGAGATCCTAATTAAAACTATCAGCTCAGATGTTAGAATATTATTTTAAAAAATGAATTTGTTAGATGTCGTATGCAGTGTTTTGTTTTTAAATGGAATATAATGTGTTATGTGTTATTTTTCAAGTATCAGATAACATGTTCTAAATTGGATTTATGTTAATTTTTAAATTAGAAGAATACATAAACAGCCAAAACAATGACCTCAAATAACTCCCTCCCATAAGTTTTTGAATCAACAACTGTACAAAATAACAATGTCAGTCATTATGGATTCCCTCCCCCCCACCGCCCCCAAAATAATAATGTTGCCTTTCTGCTACACTTTTTTCATGTCAGAAGTGACTTGAGAAAATGCAAGTAGCTTCTGGTGTGAGAGAATTGGCTCTCTGCAAGGATGTTGCCCAGGGCATGCCTGGATGTTTTGTCATTCTGTGGGAGGCTTCTTTCATGTCCTTGCATGGGAAGCTGGAGCAGACAGGAGCTCACCCCATCACATGGATTCGAACAGCTGACCTTCAGGTCAGCAGGTCAGCTGACACCAAGGTTTAACCCATTGTGCCACGGCGGCTCTTTCTGCTACACTAAGAATTACACATTACAGATAACAGTGTTCCTTGTAATTAATTACTGCTAACCATTGCTTCATAAGGGTCCCGCCATACAAATGGGTTTCTTTAAACTAGTGGTCTTTAATTGTACCCTAGAAAAGACTAGGATGCTTCTAAAGCTTATCAGTAACGGTGGACAAACTCGCATCAAAGAATTGCCTCGCCACTCAAGATACTTGCTTGTAACACAAGCTGCTAGGAAATAGTTGGCTGAGTTTTAGATGGATCCAGAGAGTGCAATGGTGAGGCTCAATAGCCTTTGGGCTAAATCCAATTTTATGTCTACCTAGAGTAGGCCTATTGAAATGAATGGGTTTTGTTTGTCACAGTTAAAATCCCATAGATATCCTTAAGCAGGATTAAATTTGGACGTGCCTCACATGAGCTCAACGCATTCCAATGCTTTTGTTTTTCAGTTATTACTAATAACAACTTTATTCTTGTATCCCACCACTATCTCCCCGAAAGGACTTGGAGTGGCTTACACATGGCACAAGGTGCTTAAAAACAAAACAAAAAATAAACACAGTACAAAATACAATAAGTAAAACACATACACATTTAGAACATCAACTAAGACCCAATAAAACTGCACTTACCAACCAATGGCGGTAAGCTGCTGTAAACATGGCCAGGCTGTAAACAATAGGACAAGGGAATGGGATAGTGCAGAGCTGTAACAATGAAGAGAGGGCATGGAATAAAGTGCAAGGCTGTGTGACTGTTGCACAGAACTAGGGACTAGGCGTTCTCAAAAGCTTGTTTGAATAGCCACATCTTCAAGTCCCTACAAAAGGAGGAGAGTGTGGGGCCTGTCTAATTTCCCTGGGGAGGGCATTGCAAAGCTGTGGGGCCACCACTGAAAAAGCCCTCTGCCTCGTCCCCACCAACTGTGCTTGTGACAATGGGGGGACTGAGAGGAGGGCCTCCCCGACAGATCTTAGAGCCCGTGCCGGTCCATGGGAAGGATGCCATTATGAAGATAGGCAGGATCCGAGCTATTTAGGGCTTTATAGGTAATATCCTGCACTTTGAATTGGGACTGGAAGCTTATTGGTAGCCAATGGAGCTGCCTTAGTAGGGACACCATGTGCTCCCTATAGCTAGCTCCAGTTAGTAGCCTGGCTGTTTATCTCTGCAAGAATTGCAGTTTCTGAGCCGTCTTCAAAGGCAGCCCCACGTAGAGTGCATTGCAATAATCCAGTCTAGATGTAACTAAGGCATGGACCACTGTGGCCAAGTCAAGCTTTTCGAGATACAGTCGCAGCTGGCACACAAGCTTTAACCCAGTTGCTCCTGTTATAGTTAGACATTGAGGTAAGAATGGATAGATTACATCTCCAGGAATCTCTCAGTCAACATTGCCCACCTTGGCTGGAAATGTTTTGGAGTTGCAGACTTTTCAGTATAAGTCATTTTTATTGAAAGTTAAGCAAGACAAACAAACAAACAAACACACATACAAGTAAACAATATCTACAACAGTTGGAAGTCGTATGTTTCCCCCTGTATATATTAAGTCCATGCCACCTATATGTGTATGGCTTCGCATACGATATTTCTTACCTAACAAATACAACAACAAAAGCCCCAAACAAACAGATAACCCCCATCCACCTCCATACAATACAGTGCGACACACATATATATAAATTCCCTTTGACTTCCAGGATCTTCAAGCAATCATGTGTGTTACTTCGCTCCCATCATATCTTAATTCAGCCAGTTATCCTGTAACCCATTATATCATGGCCCTTAGGATTCTTCTATTCCTTCCCTTTTAAAAAAATATTTGTAATTATTTTTTTTAGAAAGTTAATGAACTTATTCCAGTCCGTATTATTAGCTATTACTGTTTTGTGGAGTTGTAGACTTTCAAGCATTATGATGTTGTTGATCAAAGTCTTGACCATCCAGTGATGAATTTGCATTTCCCCACAAAGATAATGAAATTAGGTGGAGGATGGGGACAAGTACTTCATGAACTGGTTCGTCCTGTGGTCCTGCTAGAGGTTCAAAAAAGCATCCAGACGAGGCTTGAGAAAAAGTGGCTGCCACTATATTTTGGAAGTGAAGAACAAGGACCACCAAAAAAACCAAAGGTAACATTGCTAATTTCATTTTCATGGTGCCATATGTTTTACATAAACAAAAAGATTGATCAATTATCTTAAAGGTGATATAAACATCAGAATATGTGAGGTAGGCCAGTATCTAGTGCTAAACCAGGCTCTGGCACAGCTAGTTAATAGCCAGCTGCATTAAATCACTACTGACTAAGAGGTCATGAGTTCGAAGCCAGCCCAGGTTGGAGTAAGCTCCCGTCCATTAATAATCTAGCTTGCTGTCTATCTATGCAGCCTGAAAGACAGTTGCATCTGACAAGTAGGAAACTTAGGTACCGCTTTATGTGGGAAGGCTAATTTAACTAATTTACAATGCCATAAAACCTTCCAGCAGCATGCAGAAGAATGAGGAAATACTCCATCAAAAGATCCGGTGTCAGAAGTGGACGGTGAAGCAGCAGCTGCCCTGTGACCGGAATCGAGCATACCCTTATTAATCCGGAAAAACTGGAATGTTAAATTGCCTGTGTGTCTGTCTATATATATTGTATGTCTATATGGCATTGAATGTTTGCCATGTATATGTGCATTGTAATCCTCCTTGAGTCCCCTGTGGGGTGAGAAGGGTGGAATATAAATACTGTAAATAAATAAACATTAAATAAATAAATAAACCAAACACTATGTTAAATACAAGAAAGTGCAGGTAAATTACAGTTTTTTCTTATTCCCAAATCATCGTTTGTCTGGACAATCATCAGTCAGGAAGGCTGAAACCCAGCTAAATTCAGTTCTTACCCTTAGTTCAGGAACTAAAATAATGCAATTCTATTGAAAACAAGGGACTTTCACCACTTTTTAAAATTCCTTCAATAGTGAAAAGGGGGAAATGGCTTCAGGGAGGGGAGGTTTAAAGCAGCCCTGCCTCTCCACAGTAGTCCCAGTCCAGATGAGGCCCACATTCATTTATTTTGGAGTAAGAAAGTAACTGAAGCTTAGCCACACACTACGTGCTTTTCACATGTGCAGTTTTTGTTCTAATTGACCTCATCCAGCTGGTGTTCCTGTTGGCCACTGAGGACATCAGAGGCAGTCGAAGCCTGTCTCCGCATCTGGCATGTTTTCCAGAGCGTAATTGGGGAGGGGTCGTGGTGCAGAGAGCTTGATCTTTTTGCTGTAGAATTCCACCCTCCATACAGCATCCCTCCCTGACATATGGAAGCTGGGAGCTGTTGAGTAGCACAGAGGAAAACAATCCCAAAGAAAAAGAGCATGGATTTATGGCACTCCGCTATGTCTGTTTCTTGCCCTGCTCTCTTGTCAGCTTTCCATCTGGGGCTGCCTATTCTATCACAAATGGCTCGGTTTCCTTCTTCTGCACACTAGCTCAGTAGGCGGTTTTTGGCTGGTGATGAGCCATGCCTGTGACTGATTGATAGTATTAATATTTGCTACATTCAGTGGCACAATAGGGTTGGTGTCATCCAGTGCACTAACTCATGGTGTCACCCTACAGATTCCCTCCTATATCAGACCATACAGAAATATAACCTATAGCAAGTGGTATTCATTACCAGTCTCTCATGCAAGGACTAACTAGGAGTGATGCCTTTAGGGATGGCATGGGCAAACTTGGGCCCTCCAGGTGTTTTGGACTTCAACTCCCAGAATTCCTAACAGCCAGTAGGCTGGAATCACTGGGTTGTTGTAGGGCTTTTCGGGCTATATGTTCTAGAGGCAGTCTCTCCTGACATTTCGCCTGCATCTATGGCAAGCATCCTCAGAGATCTCACTACCTCCAAAACACCTGGAGGGTCCAGCTTTGCTCATGCCTGGTCTAATGGGTTGGAAGAAGTGTTGAACCTGATTATATAATTCAGAACAAAAACTGGTAAACTTGGAGAGACTTCATTGATTTTTTCATGGCAATTTGTATATAGCAGTGGTTGCCAACCTGTGGTTTGTGGACCACTAGTGGTCCCCAAGAATGAAAATATGGTCTGCACTTCATCATTACTACACTGTTGCCTCGAAAACATGTGGCAAACAAGAGTGACTGGTCTTGCAAAACCCTCTTATAGTGCCGAGGCAATGAGGATAATAATAATAATAATAATAATAATAATAATAATAATAATAATAATAATAATAATCTTTATTTATCTCCCCAAAGGGGACTTGGGGAAGCTTACATGAGGCCAAGCCAACAAAATGAAACCAGAGCAACAAAACAAACATCACAATTAACTAAATAAAAATATAATAATACCTGAAACAATACAAAATAATACAATGCAGAATCAATCCCAAAGGGTGGGCCACATGTGAGAGATAAAATGATAAAATTCAGGATGAGATAGAGATGAAAAAGAAATATTTATATGGGATGTCATGAGGGAAGAGGTTGACTGCCCATAAAAGATTACTGCTACCACATCAGCTCTATTATTAAATAAGGTTTTCTGTGGGTGAGCAGAGGGTGACTACTGGATGGCATATGTTCTGTATTAGAAACTAGAGCTGATGTAGTCTATCCAATGCAATTTTCTGAATCAGCATCCCAAACTGAATCTAAAGTTGACCAAAAACTGATTTGTAACCCTTTTGGTACTACTGTTGGAGAGTGATCCCTGTTCAAGTCGTCCCTGGTCAAAAAAAGGTTGGGAACCACTGGTATATAGGGAAATAAACAAGAAGGTCCTTATTTTTGTGCCCCTCCCCATTTCTTTAAGACCTGTTATATGAATTATTACATTTCTTAGAATAAATAATCACTTTTAAAGGTGCATGTGTAGACATGAGCGGCTGTGCTTTTGAGCAATGCTGTATTCTGCCAAGTAGTTTTTCTTTGTGAAAGTGGGCAGATTCATCTAATTCAGGAAGAAAAGCAGGATGTCTTTTTCACACTCCCATAATATTTTAGCGAGATTGATATAGGCAGCTTGACAGCCCAGATGTTAACATCCTTAACTTCTGTCTTCTAAACTGCTTTCTTTGGAAATAGTACAATGAATTCTAATTTTGAAAATTAATTTTGAACTATAGCACGTATTCTTCAGTGTGTTTTTTTTCTCTTTTTTTGCCTTCAGCCACGCTTTCATGATGCTGCAGAAGATATTTTGATACAGAGATTTGAGAAGAAATTTGAACCCTGGAAGGCAAGCTTTGTCTCTTACTTTTGACTTGCATGTCTCTAAAGCCTGCTGATGCTCCACAGTTCTCTCAATGCAAAGACAAAGTTTGCTGAGCATTGAGCAAGTGTAGTCATCATTATTAACTGCCCAGCACTATTAGCCAGTCTTTCGTAGCCTGATGCCCTCCAGATGTATTAGGCCACAACTTTCATTGTTTGCAATAACTGTCAATGTAGGAAATAATGTATGTAATCTTAATGTATATTTTCTGTACATTCTACATTTGCTCGACTCATTGGGGCAAGCTGTTCACTCCAGCATCTGGAAGACAATTTATTATTGAGAGCGATTAAGTGCAGTCACCAAAAAAGAATCTGAAGTATGCAGGAAAAGTGGGCAGGATTAATCATAACTCACAGTATCTGTTTCATTTAGAATTGCATTCTAACGTGAAGATCGTATCAATTGTTAAACATCTTAAAGCAGTGTAACATATCTCAGGAAGGGTGGGTTTCATTTTTTTTCATCTTCTCTTTCTTCCTCAAAGAGCAGAAAACTCTTTGTAACACATGTTGTCTACATTTATTGGAAGCATGGGGATTTTTTCTTTTTGTCTGGGTTCCATATTGCTAATTAGCCAGTGCTGGGAGCCAGCTGAAATATAAGCGTGAACTGCTAGTTCGGGACCAAAGAAGTCTAGGAACACAAGGGAATCCCGACAAAGGCAAGACACTGACAAAACTGGGGTGTGCTTTAGGATATACATACTGTTACAAGCATTCAGGGAAAGGCTTGCAAGGATATAGGGCAAGCAGAGAGAAACATTTGAAGAGGATCCAGGTAAAGGCAGGTCCATATCAAAATATAGATTGGTATAAGGCAGCTTTGGCACACTCCGAGAACCAACATAGAAGTAGAAGATCTTTTACCTACTTGTACCTTCTAAGCTCCCTTAAGGTCTCCAACTACTTGAGCTGGAATGATTGAGGATAATGAGGGTGACTGGCAGACCTACTTTGTGTGTGATATTCTTTGACTTTTAAGACGATTTGGACCACAATTCCATTACTAGAGGTTTCATTAAGTAAGGTTGATGGGAGTCGTGAAAGTTGAGAGTTTAGTCCAAAGGATCACTTGAAAAAGTTTAAAAAAGAGATGAGCTTGGAAGACGATTAACTATTTAACATGTTTAATGTCTGATGGAAAGATTACCAGATTATCCCCTAATCCCAAATTACGGTAGAAACTTCCTATCTGAGTCATGTTCCTCCAAAAGTTGAAGTTGATGGGCAACTAGTCAAATTTTGAGTGCTTGATCTTTGTTTCTGAGAGCTCTACTTCTTCCAAACTTGTTTTAAGATCCAATATGTGAAGAATTATCCATGGTATTCACTGGATTGGGTTTTTACTCTGTTGTTGTTGTGTGCTTTCAAGTTGTTTCTGATTTCTGATGACTCTCGTACAAACCTATCATGGGGTTTTCTTGGAGGAATGTGTGGGGAGTGGGAAGTTGCCTTTGTCTTCCTTTGAAGTTGAGAAAGTGTGATTTGCCTAAGATCACCCACTGGGTTTCTATGGCTTGGGGTGCATCTATATCAGGCATGGGCAAACTTTGGCTCTCCAGGTGTTTTGGACTTCAACTCCCACAATTTCTCACAGTCGGAATTTGCAAACAAATGGAGGCTGGCACTTGGGTATTTGGAAAAGAAGACAAAGGTAAACTTGAAGTTTGCCGTGAAGAGGATTCAGTGAAAGAAGATATATGGGTAGTTGCTGGTTAGTTGTGTTATTCTTTTTTGAGGGGCTTCGGAGGTCATGGGGTGGGGTTCATGGGTGTGGGGATAGAGGGTTAAGAAATGTTAAGGTATAATTAACTGTACAACCAAGTCTGATTTTTCATATGTTTAATGAGCACTTAATTTACACCCTTTTGTAATCCTTTTGCATATTTTTTTCTTAGTTTTCTTCTTATTTTCTTTCATTCCTTTGTTTTGTTTCCTATATACACTATAAAAATAAAAAAAATAAAAAAAAGGAATTGTGGGAGTTGAAATCCAAAACACCTGGAGGGCCGAAGTTTGCCCATGCCTGATCTATACTGTAGAATTAATTCAGTCTGACACATTTTAACTAGCATAATTCAATACTATGGAATCATGGGAACTGTAGTTTGGTTAGGTGCCAACACTCTTTGACAGAGAAGGCTAAAGGCCTTGTAAAACTCCAACTCTCTTGATTCCACTGTATTGAGCCAAGGCAGTTAAAGTGGTATCAAACTGCAATAATTCTACAGCATAGATGCACCACTGAGCTTGATAATCCAACACTAATTCCACTACACAACACTGGCTCTTGGCTTTTAGGTGATCTTTTCTGCAATCTTAGGCTTTCTATCTCTATCTTTCAAAGTCTCGTATTATGTTTACACCTGCTTTTCATGCTTCTTCTTTCTCAGCTTAAAGTTCTCCTGAATGTTTTGATGACTTTATGATCAGCTTTTACCGTTGGTGAAACAATGTTTTAGTAAGAACAAACACTCTGCTCTGTCCACAATTGTGGTAATACATTTCAAAGCATTTTTTTCCTAGCAAGATTATTGTCAAAGGGAGTTTTCTACTTGGAAGCTCTGTGGTTTGCCTATTCCTTCCACTCTGTTGTTTGTTTCTAGAAGATCCCAAATGGATCATCTTATCCTTCTATCTGTAACCTCTCTCTCCCTAAATCATTTCTTGCAGTGATCAACAGCGATTGCTGTTTCCATTCTTACAGTACAGAGTCATATGTTCTAAATCATTGTTAGTCATTTCCTTTCCCCTTTTGTCCCTTCCAAAGAAATGCTGCCCAAATCAAACAAAAGAGCGGGAGAGAGAAAATGGTTGCCAAGTTCTGTTGTGTCCATGTAATAAAACTACTGAACATTAGGGTCAATGCAAAGATAAGCATCAGACAGTTTATCCTAACGAATGCTTGTATTACTGCATTTTTACAAATGGAGTTTACTTATTAGTGTGCTTTCTCTCCTCCTATCTCCCCCAACCTTTTGACAGCATGTGGACAATAAGTGGATTTCTTCATCTCGGGAAATAATTACTTTCCGCAAAGCCCTGTTGAATCCCATCACGGCCTTTCAGTTTCAACGCTTTGTGTCACTGAAAGGAGATTTACTGGAAAACGGAGTAATCTTCTGGCAGGAGGTGCAGAAATATAAGGTACAGTTTTGTCAAGAAATGGACATACATGCAATTTCCCTAAAGCTGTGATAATTCGGTCTCAAGCAAAGGCATTATTTGAGGAATGGGAAACAAAGGGAAGATGCTTTGATTCCTCAACTCTTGCCATACCAAATTGATTACCTGACTTGGCAGACAAGGTAAAGAGGTCTCTGCTTTAGAGTTTGATATCAGAAGAAACAATACAATTTCTAGCTTGGCAAATTACATACTAGAAAGTCTACTATGGCTTCAAGTAGGAAACAAAAGGAAGAATTTGTCAAGATGACAGCAGTCCTGCCATATTATTCTGTGAGGCATCATGCTCCTGAGAGCATACCATGGGCTCCCTGTTCCTTTATCTTCTCTCCCTGTTAATTCCCTTCCATGGTATTATTTAGCAGTCAAGAGTGCATCTACATTGTACAAGAGTTATCCAGAAAGTAAGATTACAATAATTTTTTTAAATACAAAGAATGAATATATTTTAATAAAACTTACATGGTTTGTAGCATAGGTATTACATTATTTTTCCACATAATCACCATTCAGTTCAATATTTTTGTCATCTGTGGGACGGGTTTTTGATGCCTATGTCATAGAAGTTTCCCTCCACCTTTTTCAGCCAGTTTGTCACTTCAATTTTCACCTCCTCGTCGTCGGAAAAGTGTTTTCCACCCAGGTGTTCCTTCAATTTAATGAATAGATGATAGTCACTGGATGCAAGATCAAGGTTGTGAGAGGGGTGGCTTAAAACATCCCAACCAAATGAAGTCAAGAACTCTTGTGTCGCATTGTCATGAAGGAGACAGACTTCCGCCGTCAGCATCCCACAATGTTTGTCTTGGATGGCTCTGCGAAGATACTTCATGGTCTCACAATATATTCTGTACCCATTTTGTCACATGCTGTCTTGACATTATGTCCTTTCCATAAACTGAAACAATTTAGTGATGAATCACAGCGGTGTTCATGCCCTTAGCATTTAGGTAGCGTATTACAGTGCAAACTTCGCACTTGGAGGAAACGGAATGAGAATGCTCATCTCTAACCTTTACCACGCCAGGCAATGAGCTACTGACGACTGACACTGCTCGTTCATTTCCACTGGCTTCCCGTTACATGACAGTGATACCAACTTTCCCCACGAAAATTCCCTATGAGAGCTATGTGCCTTGTAACCTTACTTTCTGGATAACCCTTGTAGAATTAATGCAACTTGATGCCACTTTAACTGCCATAGCTCGGTGCTATGGAATCATTGGAGTTATCGTTTTGTGAAACACCAGCACACATTAGCAGAAAATGCTAAAGTGCTTGTAAAACTAAAATTCCTACGATTCCATGCTATTGAGCCATGAAGATTAAAGTGATGTGAAATTGCAATAATTCTGTAGTGTAGATGCATCTCCTGCCTATCTTTTACCAAAGTGAGGCAGTTATCTCAGGCACCAGATATTGGAAGGAGAGAGCTGTCTGCCATATAGCCTGTCCTGAAGTCACTTTTGCCTTCTGATATAATAAGAAGATGCTGTTGTTGCATTGTCAGTGTTAAAAAAAAGGATTCACCTGATAATCCAGTCAGCATTTATTCCTGAATTGGTATTCTTATTTGCCTCAGGCAGCGACACATCTTGGGCTAGCCATGGCTTTCTTTTACTTTGCTATAGTTTTGCAGTAACCTTGGCATGAATAGTAATAATCTACCAACAGGATACCACTAATAACCAGAATTTGACCAGGCCAATTTAGCTTGCACCAGCCATGGAGCCAGTGAAGGACCACTATTATTATTATTATTATTATTATTATTATTATTATTATTACCACCACCACCTTCTGACTCTCCTTGTGCATCAAAGTGGAGAACAACAACAAATAACACAGCACCAAACATCAGCTAAAAGGGCATAAAGGTAAAGGTAAAGGTAGTCCCCTGACATTAAGTCCAGTCATGTCTGACTCTGGGGTGTGGTGCTCATCTCCATTTCTAAGCCGAAGAGCCAGCGTTGTCCATAGACACCTCCAAGGTCATGTGGCCGGCATGACTGCATGGAGCGCCGTTACCTTCCCGCCGGAGCGGTACCTATTGATCTACTCACATTTGCATGTTTTCGAACTGCTAGGTTGGCAGAAGCTATGGCTGACAGCGGAAGCTCACGCCGCTCCCCGGAATCGAACCTGCGACCTTTCGATCAACAAGCTCAGCAGCTCAGTGCTTTAACCCACTGCGCCACCGGGGGCTCCAAAAGGGCATATAAAACTATAAAACCAATGAATAATAGAACCCACCAATAATTTGGATCAGGCATCCTCAAACTGTGGCCTTCCAGCTGTTTGAGCTTCCCATTCACAGAAACCCTAGCCAGCTTGTTCAATGGTCAGGAATTCAGGGAGTTGGAGACCTAAACAGTTGGAGGGCTGCAGTTTGAGAGTGCCTGAATTCTGGATAAACCTACCATAAGAAAATGATCTTTAGTCCTACTTTAAAGCCCAATATAAATGCAACTCATCATGAATCCTTATTCTTTTAATCACATAAAGAGAATACTACCAGTAAGTATGTGGCTGAAAGAGTAGAAGGCTTGAAGTTAATGTTTATGTTTTATGGGGGGAGGAAACTCACGTTATTTGCACGAGAGTCATGCAAAGATGTTAAATTATTCTATGATGGCAGCTTTGTGGTTCCTAACAAGAGACCCCAGCTATGGAGAACAAAGAGTCCTTGTTTGCTGACCACAAATATTTAATGCTAAAAGATGGTGGCCCCTCAAAATAAATTCATAGAATCATTGTGGAATCATGAAACTTGAATGTTTATTAAATGTGAGGGCTTTAAGCTGTTTCAACAATCTATTTTGCCACAATGGAAAGTGTGCATGCATTGCTTTTCTGTGGTCTGATACTCTTCAAGGCTTGTGTGACCATTTGAAGTAGGGAAGGGGGACATGAAACAAAATACAGAAGCGTATATTGCTCCTGTTTGGTCTCAGACAGCTCTCTTTCAAGCCACGCTATGCCATCCCCCAGCTTTCTGTTTCTTTTCTTCATGATTACAACTGGATAAAGCCAGCTGTGGCTTGTTGTGCAGAAATGAGAGAACACACAAACAAGAAGGGCCTTAAATGCCTTCATCCAAGTGAACTTCTAATATAGGCTATGTGTATACCAGATGAAATAATGTGGAGTAGCTTGCTCAGAGCTGCCCTAGATACATTGCAGGGAATCCATACGTACGAGTATGGAAGCGTCACAAAACCATTTTGCAGTCCACAAGGCTAAAAGGCTGACGGTGCATTGGCACTGATGCCCTGTCCTCCTGGGGGTTGTCAATGCCATCCTGCTGGTAAGCGGTTTCCCAGCAGAGTCTTTCTGGTGATGTTGCTTTTTGGTGAGATCACAAAAGGGTACCCAGCCACAAGCGTGAGGATACAACTGAGAAAATGGAGGTGGTCTCCTCATCAAATAGACTCAGCTTGAATGAACCACATCATGACATTCTTCTCCTCTGACTGGCCCAACAGGCAGGGCTCTGAGGGAAACCCTGTGCAAAGAGCATGTGGCAGGTCTCCATGCCTCGTATGAGGAGCACCACGTGCTCCCAAAAAGCAGAGGATGACCTGGGATTGGCTCACTCTTGCTTTCATGTTGAGTGGGTTTTCGTACTGGGAGAGCCCTTCCCATTATGTGCTACTGAAGGACCTGAAGGAAACACAATGTACCAAAGGAAAACAGATCCATACACAAGTCGTATGATCACCAAAAGCTACATTTCTAGTAAAGCTCTGCCAGGGAGCTGCTTCTGGTCAGCAAGATAGTGATGGCTCTTTTTGACATGTGGACCCTAGATCTGTCCAGGGTCATTTTGACAAGCTGGAATGTGATGAAAGTGATCAAACCAGGCCCTATGAGGAATGGCTGGGGGAGCTGTGTAGGTTTAGCTTGGAGAAAAAGGGTTGAGAAGAGACATGATAGCCATGTTCAAATATTTGAAAGGATGTCACATTGAGAAGGTAGAAGCTTGCTTTTAGCTGTTCTGAAAACTAGGATATGAACCAATGGATTCAAATGGCAGGAAAGAAGATTCCACCTGAACATTAGAAAGAGCTTCCTGGTGGTAAGAACTGTTCTACAATGCCTGGGAGTCTCTTTCTCAGGGGGTTTTAAAGCAGAGGCTGATGGGGGTTGCTTTGCTTTTGTGTTCCTGCATGTCAGTGGGATAGACTGGATGGCCCATTTGGTCTTTCTCAATTCTAAGATTCTATGGTTAGATGCATCCAGATCCAGCTGTCCACACATCAAAAACACTAGGGGGTCTTTCTGGAGCTTCCTGGAAGCTCTGGAGTAAGCTGCTGCTCTTGTGATGGATAAAAGGCTAGAAGCAGAGGTGTGTGGATTGATTACAACAGGTTCAAGGGAGTTAGTTTTATTTGGCCCATGTAGATACAGGGATATTCCAAGGGCTTTATTGAAATGTTGGAAATCCTTAACATGGAGATGTTAGAAAATTCAGCCTGTTACAATATATTTGCTCATATCTGCATGCAACCTACATTATCTAAGCACTTTATGATGGTTATGAGATTGTTCCATGCGTTAGTAAAATAACACATTAAGTGTCACAGAATGACTAATTTTGGACAAGTCTTAAAAGGTTAGAAACTTCATTTAAAAATCAATAACAAGATTAGTACGCAGCAAACAAGATCACAATGCTGGCTTTTGTGTTTGATCACATGTTGGACACTTCCCAAGTGTCTAGGACTATGTGATGTATCGGCAAATAATGCATGCAGATCCAAGTAGGGTGGCCTTTTGCAGCGGATAGATGGTAATTTTTTTCAGTGCCGATTGATTTCAAGTGCAAGTGATGGTCTTTAGGTACTGCACCAGTTACCAATCAAAATAAATTACTACTACTACTACTACAGGAAGTATACCAACAGGATAGCAAAAGAGGCCTTACCTTCTGATATTAGACTTTAATAGATTACTTGAAGGAATGTATTTTCCTACATGAATGTACTCAGTTATTGAAATCTAATTCAGGTCCCTTTTCCCACTAAAGTTAAGCACATGGCAACCTGAAAGGTAACCTGTATAGTTGTGTGTTGTGATTCTGCAAATCGGTTTTGTGCTGTGATTCTACTCAGGCAGGCTCACTTGGCACTCAACCTGAAGATTGTCTGGCACAAAGGGAAGACCTTTGTATTTACTCCATCTTTTTACACACAAATTTGTATTTCTGTTTGTTTGTTTTTAAAATCTGCTACTGTTCTATGCAGCTATGGATTGCATTAATACTTGTATTGTGTTGCATTTTTTAAAATGTTTCTTTTAGTAATTCTGGGAGATTTCAGCTGATGAGAGGGGCAGAAATTTATTCCGTGTACAGCCAACGCTAATTGTCCACAGATTCTGCAGCCACAGATTTCAAACACTATCCACAGTTTGAAAAACATTTAAAATCCCAAAAGCAGACCTTAGTTTTGGGTTAATGTATAAGGAAGATAATTTTATTACACCGCTGCGTATGGTGGGACTAGAGCATTCACGTCTTTTGGTAACCACAGGAAGTCTTGAGACCAAACCCCAGCAGATACTGTAGAATGGACCTTGAGCACCCACAGATTTTAGCATTCAAGGGTAGGAGGGTCCTGGAATCAAACACAAGTGGATACAAAGGACCCACTCTTTGAATAAAATAAGTATTTGTAAAATCTGAGATCTAACATATTAGGAGTGGCTTCGACACGTTCCTCACACATCTCAATTTCCTTTTTGCAGGATATGTGCCATGCTCATTGTGACGACTCTATAATCCAGAATAAGATCACATCAATCATCAACTGCTTCATTAATTCACCCCTTCCACCAACAATTCAGATTGACATACCTGAAGATCAAGCCCAGAAGATTGTTGAGCAAAGGAAAGAACTAGGCCCTTATGTATTCAGGGAGGCACAGGTAGGTTGAGCAGGTCTGCTAGATTTGGTTGGAGGATGCTGGGCCTAAGTAGACCTTGGAAGTAATGAATAATGTTCATTTTGTTTAAAATGACAGTGAGCATCTTTTCTTTTAGATTGGCGACTTGACATATTTTTGAATAGCAATCCTTATTGCTAGAGATCATTATTTTGTGGAGGACATATGGGTTATTTTTTAGTCCTTATAAAAATGTCAAAGTAACATGTTATTAATCTATTGCCAAAGTATTTCAAAATGTTCCTTTCCTTTTAAAAGAGTAACATCAAGTTATGTTTTGGTGTAGCAATACTAATATTAACATATTAACATATTTATTTATTATTTAAACTTATATGCCGCCACTCCCCTGGGGCTCGGAGCAGGCATTGAACAAATTAATGACGATCCCAAGCTGTAATTTCAGTGGTAAACGAATTCAGTACACTCATTACACAATCAAGATTAGTCAGAACACACATAGCCTGTTGCCTGGAAGTATACAATATTGATCTCTCTGTCTGTGTATCTCTATAGAATGATAGATAGGAGATAGATTAGATGGATGGATGGATGGATGGATGGATGGATGGATGGATGGATGGATAGATAGATAGATAGATAGATAGATAGATAGATAGATAGATAGATAGATGATAGATAGATAGATAGATAGATAGATAGATAGATAGATAATCTATCTATCTAATCTATTTCCTCAGTAGAAACAATATCATACAAAAGCTGACTGGCACAATCTGGGGATCACAACCAGATACAGTGAAGACATCTGCCCTGCGCTTTGCTACTCTGGTGCTGAGTATGCATGCCCAGTGTGGAATACATCTCACCACATTAAAACAGTTGATGTGGCTCTTAATGAGGCATCCTGCATTATCACATAATGTTTAAGCCCTACACTGCTGGAGAAATTATACTGTTTTAGCCAGTATTGCACCACCTGACATCCATCAGGAAGTAGCAGCCAGTAATGAAAGGACCAAGGTATTTACATCTCCGGCCTCTGTTCAGGTATCAGCCAGCAAGTCAACACCTTAAATCAAGAAACAGCTTCCTAAGATCTACAGAGATACTTACAGGAACACCTCAGCAAACAAGAGTCCAAAAGTGACAGGCTAAAACCCGGAACCTCAGTCAGTGGCTGAAACCAGATGAGAAGCTCTCCCTGAACACACAGAAGACTGGGCAACTTGGAAGGTGCTGAACAAACTGCGCTCTGGCACCACGAGATGCAGAGCCAACCTTAAGAAATGGAACTACCAAGTGGAGTCCATGGCATGCGAGTGTGGAGAAGAGCAAACCATAGACCACCTATTACAATGTAGTATAATTCCAAGTTTTTAACTTTGTTTGTGGCTTTTTAAAATATATTATGCCTGTATTCTCAATTTGCTTCTGACACAATAAATAAACAATCTATCTCCCATTTGTCATTCTATCTGTTTATTTAATTTATATCCCTTTTTCCCAGCTTCAGGATTCAAGATAGTTCAAAATTCTTTATCCACAGTGGAGTCACTGTATAACAGTATCCTAATCTTCTATATCCTCCAGCAAAGGATCACCGCCTTGTCGGGGCGCTGGAGCTTGAGCACCTCAATGATGTCATGAGCGAAACCGTGAAGGGCCACCCAAGACGGGACGGTTGTGGCAGAGAGGTCAGACCAAGCGTGATCCCTGGGGAAGGCAATGGCAAACCACTCCAGTATCCTTGCCAAGAAAACTAAATGGACCAGTACAACCAGAGATATGCCGGTATGCCATTGGAAGATGGGACTCCCAGGTCGGAAGATGGCCAAAATGCTACTGGGGAGGAGCAGAGGATAAGTTCAACTAGCCCCAGATGTGATGACGCAGCTAGCTCAAAGCCGAAAGGAAGGCTAGCGACCGACGGTACTGGAGGTGAACGACGAATCCGATGCTCTAAAGATCAACACACCATAGGAACCTGGAATGTAAGATCTATGAGCCAGGGCAAATTGGATGTTGTTATTGGTGAGATGTCAAGGCTAAAGATAGACATTCTGGGGGTCAGCGAACTGAAATGGACTGGAATGGGCCACTTCACATCAGATGACCACCAGATCTACTACTGCGGACAAGAGGAACATCGAAGAAATGGAGTAGCCTTCATAATTAATAAGAAATTCGCTAAAGCGGTGCTTGGATACAACCCAAAAAATGACAGAATGATCTCAATTCGAGTGCAAGGAAAGCCTTTCAACATTACAGTGATCCAACTATACGCCCCAACCACAGCTGCTGAAGAAGCAGAAGTAGATCAGTTCTATGAGGATCTGCAGGACCTACTGGATAATACACCAAAAAGAGACATTATTTTCATTACAGGAGACTGGAATGCCAAGGTGGGAAGTCAAATGACAACTGGGATCACAGGCAAGCATGGTCTGGGAGAACAAAATGAAGCGGGACGCAGGCTGATAGAATTTTGCCAGGAAAACTCGCTGTGTATAACGAATACTCTCTTCCAACAACCTAAAAGACGGCTTTACACATGGACCTCACCAGACGGTCAACACCGAAATCAGATTGACTACATCCTTTGCAGCCAAAGGTGGCGGACATCCATCCAGTCGGTGAAAACAAGACCTGGGGCTGACTGTAGCTCAGATCACGAACTTCTTATTGCCCAATTTAGAATAAAACTAAAGAGATCAGGGAAAATACACAGACCAGTTAGATATGACCTCACTAACATTCCTAGCGAATATACAGTGGAAGTGAAGAACAGATTTGAAGGACTAGATTTAGTAAACAGAGTCCCAGAAGAACTATGGACAGAAGTCCGAGACATTGTTCAGGAGGCGGCAACAAAGTACGTCCCAAAGAAAAAGAAAACCAAGAAGGCAAAATGGTTGTCTGCTGAGACACTGGAAGTAGCCCAAGAAAGGAGGAAAGCAAAAGGAAACAAGGATAAGGGGAGATATGCCCAGTTAAATGCGCAATTCCAGAGGTTAGCCAGAAGAGATAAGGAACTATTTTTAAATAAGCAATGCATGGAAGTTGAAGAAGACAACAGAATAGGAAGGACAAGAGACCTCTTCCAGAAAATTAGAAACATTGGAGGTAAATTTCAGGCAAAAATTGGTATGATAAGAAACAAAGATGGCAGGGACCTAACAGAAGCTGAAGAGATCAAGAGAAGGTGGCGAGACTATACAGAAGATCTGTATAGGAAGGATAATAATAATGAGGATAGTTTTGACGTGTGGTGAATGAATTAGAACCAGACATCCTGAAGAGTGAGGTTGAATGGGCCTTAAGAAGCATTGCTAACAACAAGGCAGCAGGAGACGACGGGATCCCAGCTGAACTGTTTAAAATCTTAAAAGATGATGCTGTCAAGGTGATGCATGCCATTGCCAGCAAATATGGAAAACACAAGAATGGCCATCAGACTGGAAAAAATCAACTTATATCCCCATACCAAAAAAGGGAAATGCGAAAGACTGCTCAAACTTCCGTAGTGGCCCTTATTTCTCATGCCAGTAAGGTAATGCTCAAGATCCTGCAAGGAAGACTCCAGCAATACATGGAGCGAGAGTTGCCAGATGTTCAAGCTGGTTTTAGAAAAGGCAGAGGAACGAGAGACCAAATTGCAAATATCCGCTGGATAATGGAGAAAGGCAGGGAGTTTCAGAAAACATCTACTTCTGCTTCATTGACTATTCTAAAGCCTTTGACTGTGTGGATCATAATAAATTGTGGCAAGTTCTTAGTGGGATGGGCATCCCAAGCCACCTTGTCTCTCTCCTGAGGAATCTGTACAAGGACCAAGTGGCAACAGTCAGAACTGACCACGGAACAACAGACTGGTTCAAGATTGGGAAAGGCGTACGGCAAGGCTGCATCCTCTCACCCAACCTTTTTAACTTGTATGCAGAACACATCATGCGATGTGCGGGGCTGGATGAATGCAAAGCTGGGGAAAATTGCTGGAAGAAACATTAACAACCTCAGATATGCAGATGACACCACTCTGATGGCCGAAAGCGAGGAGGAGCTGAGGAGCCTTCTAATCAAGGTGAAAGAAGAAAGCGCAAAAGCCGGGTTGCAGCTAAACGTCAAAAAAACCAAGATTATGGCAACATGAATGATTGACAACTGGAAAATAGAGGGAGAAACCGTGGAGGCCGTGACAGACTTTGTATTTCTAGGTGCAAAGATTACTGCAGATGCAGACTGTAGCCAGGAAATCAGAAGACGCTTACTTCTTGGGAGGAGAGCAATGTCCACTCGATAAAATAGTAAAGAGTAGAGACATCAGACTGGCAACAAAGATCCGCCTAGTCAAAGCCATGGTATTCCCTGTAGTAACCTACGGATGTGAGAGCTGGACCTTAGGAAGGCTGAGCGAAGGAAGATCGATGCTTTTGAACTGTGGTGTTGGAGGAAAGTTCTGAGAGTGCCTTGGACTGCGAGAAGATCCAACCAGTCCATCCTCCAGGAAATAAAGCCCGACTGCTCACTGGAGGGAAAGATACTAGAGACAAAGTTGAAGTACTTTGGCCACATCATGAGGAGACAGGAAAGCCTAGAGAAGACAATTATGCTGGGGAAAGTGGAAGGCAAAAGGAAGAGGGGCCGACCAAGGGCAAGATGGATGGATGGCATCCTTGAAGTGACTGGACTGACATTGAAGGAGCTGGGGGTGGTGACGGCCGACAGGGAGCTCTGGCGTGGGCTGGTCCATGAGGTCACGAAGAGTCGGAGACGACTGAATGAATGAACAACAACAAATCTTCTATATCACATTGGAACTACACAATTCACAGAATGTCTGGGAAAAGAGTAAAGTAAAAGGGTATTTGAGGTTTTAAAGAAGCCAGACAAGGATGGAAAGCAAAACTAAACCTTGAAAATATAATTTGTCTGGATGATAACTCATCAAATCCCTTAGTGACTATATTTTACAAGGTATTGTCCAAAAGATAACATCTCCAAGCTCTGAACAAACACTTAGTAATGGAGGGAGAGGAACAGTCATTGTGCCCTGTTATCTATCTAAGCCCAGCCTGACAGTAGAAAACATGTGATCTGATGAACAGATGCTAAATACACAGCTCCCATTGCGCATGGTTATTTTTTAAACTTCAAATAGTAACTACAGGACAGTATTCCTTTTGGAAATGGATCAAAATACATAGAATGTCATTTTTAAAAAATCCTTCCACATCCCTTGGTCTCAATAAATACACCCACCATTGTTGTTTGGTGTGAGATGTAAACTGCCATTGAATCCGCTCCATTTCCCCCATGATATTTTCCAGAACTGCAGAATTAAATTCAGCTCTGAGAGCTCCTTTCAAAAGTATGCATCACTTTATTGGTTCACAGTGTTAATGCCTTAATTGAGGTCATTCTTTGAATCTCTGTCTTTGCTTTCAACATTGTTTTCCTCCTCTTAGTTTAAAACAGACCTTGCAATGAGATTATATCACTTAAAAATTCCTCATAGTTCAGCAATGTTGTTTTTAGAAGTTCTCCAAAGGCAAAATCCCCTTCTCCTAAAGTAACATGTTAATAAGAAGGCCCCTTGTCCCTGTAAGTGGAATATGTTGGGCAACTGTTGGATTAAATACAACCATACTGAGCCATGTTGCTGTTGTTTATTTGTTCAGTCGCTTCCGACTCTTCGTGACCTCATGGACTGGCCCACGCCAGAGCTCCTTGTTGGCTGTGGTCATCCCCAGTTCCTTCAAGGTCAAGCCAGTCACTTCAAGGATAGCATCCATCTATCTTGCCCTTGGTCAGTCCCTCTTCCTTTTTTCTTCCTCAGCATCAGTATCTTCTCCAAGCTTTCCTGTCTTCTCATTATGTGGCCAAAGTACTTCATCTTTGTCCCTAATATCCTTTCCTCCCTTCCTGAAGTATGGATGGGTTGGATCTTCTTGAAGTCCAAGGCACTCTGAGAATTTTCCTCCAGCACCACAGTTCAAAAGCATCTATCTTTCTTTGCTCAGCCTTCCTTATGGTCCTGCTCTTGCATCTATAGGCTACTACTTTAACTATGCAAGTGTGATGTCTCTACTCTTCACTAGTTTATCGAGATTGGTCATTGCTCTCCTCCCAAGAGGGAAACATTTTCTGATTTCATGGCTGCAGTCTGCATCTCCAGCCATCTTTGCACCTAGAAATACAAACTCTGTCACTGCCTCCACGTTTTCTCCCTCTATTTGCCAGTTATCAATCAGTCTGGTTGTCATAATCTTGGGTTTTTTTTATGTTTAGCTGCAACCCAGCTTTTGCACTTTCTTCTTTCACCTTGGTTAGAAGGCTCCTCAACTCCACTTCGCTTTCAGCCATCAAAGTGGTATCATCTGCATATCTAAGGTTGTTAATGTTTCTTCCAGCAATTTTAACTCCAACTTTGGATTCATAAATCCAAAGTGCCTTCTGCATACAAGTTGAATAGGTAGGGTGAGCGTATATAGCCCTGCCGTACTCCTTTCCCAATCTTGAACCAGTCTGTTGTTCAGTAGTCTGTTCTTGCTATTGCTACTTACACAGATTCCTCAGGAGAGACACACGGTGACTTGGTATCCCCATACCACCAAGAGCTTGCCACAATTTATTATGATCCACACAGTCAAAGGCTTTAGAATAGTCAATAAAACTATTGGGATATGTTTTTATTTAAGAAAATACCTACAGTACATTTAAAAAAACCCAATAACAATACTTGATGTTTTTATTAATGCAAGCAGTTATTTAGGGTGATGTTTTGAAAAGGAATGGCTTTTTAAAACTGTGGTTTAGGAAGGTTTCTCATCAGCAATAAACACATACTGATGAGAAGCAGATGCAAGTCCAGAGTAAAACACTCTGAGACAGTTTTGGTGGTGATGGCGGTAGTGAAGCTTCGTGATGTATATGAAAGAAGAAAAGCTTGTTTCATTGCGTTGCTGAAATGCCCTTATTGCTTGGAGGGGCCATCTCTTTCTATGCCTTTTTACAGTATGTCTCTTTCTTCTTTCTATTCTAGATGACTATTTTTGCACTTCTCTTTAAATTTTGGCCAAAATTTTGTGACTTCCGAAGCAATTTGGCTGATGAGAATATTCTGCCTCTTCTGGACAAGCGAAGAGAGAAGAAATTAGAAAAAATGAGGAGAGCGAGAGAAGCAGAAGACAAGGTGAGGCAATCACGAGAAGCTTATAAACAGGTTGGCCTGTATAAACAATCCAGATATAGCTCTGGTCCAAACTCTGAAGCAAAGCAGGGGATGGCCCACTATTGGGGAGTATTTTCTTTTTCCCCATGGCTTGTCTGATTCAGTTATTACGTTCAATATCAGCCTTCCTGTGCCCTTGAAGGAAGTAATAATATTTTAAAATAAAGTAAAACATATCAAAATGTGGCTAAAACAACATGCAAACTGAAACCTATGCAGTCAGTCCAAATGAAAACAAATTTCTAGTAATGCTAAAGATCATTCATCTTTTGTGAGTCTTGAAAGGAAAGGACTCATTGTATGATTGCAGAGAATTCATTCCATGTATACACGTCTCAGCCATCAAAATTAAACATGTACTAACAAATTGGTCTCCTACATTTAAGCCTAAGCAGAAGGCAAAAAAACCAAAAAAACAAACAAACAAGCGCCTAAAATAGGCATGTTTTGGACTGCACCTCCCACAATTCTTAATAGACTCAGACCCTTTCCTTTTCCCCCTCAGCTGCTTAAGGAATGGCCTGAAGCTGTTAGGAATTGTGGGAGTTGCAGTCCAAAACACTTGGAGGGCTGAAGTTTGCCCATGCCTAGTCTAGCATAACTTTAACTCCCTGCATGTTTCTGGTCTGCGACTCCCAGAACCCCTGACTACTTGGCCATGCTGGTTATGGCTTCTCTAGTCCAACATCGTTGAGGAATAAGTTTGTGAACATAATTCAAACTGATGCAAGTGTCACTCATGGGAAATTCAATGGAAATTCATAGATGAAAGGAGGAACTCTTGAAAATATTTGTATTTACTCTAGTTGTATAACATACGTACTATAACATGGAGATTATTGCTCTTGACTATTGTATGAAATACTGGAAAGAATAAATAAAGCGTAATGTAATGCTCTCCAGCAAAGGATCACCGCCTTGTCGGGGCGCTGAAGCTTGAGCACCTCAATGATGTCATGAGCGAAACCGTGAAGGGCCACCCAAGACGGGACGGTTGTGGCAGAGAGGTCAGACCAAGCGTGATCCCTGGGGAAGGCAATGGCAAACCACTCCAGTATCCTTGCCAAGAAAACTAAATGGACCAGTACAACCAGAGATATGTCGGTATGCCATTGGAAGATGGGACTCCCAGGTCGGAAGATGGCCAAAATGCTACTGGGGAAGAGCAGAGGATAAGTTCAACTAGCCCCAGATGTGATGACGCAGCTAGCTCAAAGCCGAAAGGAAGGCTAGCGGCCGACGGTACTGGAGGTGAACGACGAATCCGATGCTCTAAAGATTAACACACCATAGGAACCTGGAATGTAAGATCTATGAGCCAGGGCAAATTGGATGTAGTTATTGGCGAGATGTCAAGACTAGACATTCTGGGGGTCAGCGAACTGAAATGGACTGGAATGGGCCACTTCACATCAGATGACCACCAGATCTACTACTGCGGACAAGAGGAACATCGAAGAAATGGAGTAGGCTTCATAATTAATAAGCAATTCGCTAAAGCAGTGCTTGGATACAACCCAAAAAATGACAGAATGATCTCAATTCGAGTGCAAGGAAAGCCTTTCAACATTACAGTGATCCAAATATACGCCCCAACCACAGCTGCCGAAGAAGCAGAAGTAGATCAGTTCTATGAGGATCTGCAGGACCTACTGGATAATACACCAAAAAGAGACATTATTTTCATTACAGGAGACTGGAATGCCAAGGTGGGAAGTCAAATGACAACTGGGATCACAGGCAAGCATGGTCTGGGAGAACAAAATGAAGCGGGACGCAGGCTGATAGAATTTTGCCAGGAAAACTCGCTGTGTATAACGAATACTCTCTTCCAACAACCTCAAAGACGGCTTTACACATGGACCTCACCAGACGGTCAACACCGAAATCAGATTGACTACATCCTTTACAGCCAAAGGTGGCGGACATCCATCCAGTCGGTGAAAACAAGACCTGGGGCTGACTGTAGCTCAGATCACGAACTTCTTATTGCCCAATTTAGAATAAAACTAAAGAGATCAGGGAAAATACACAGACCAGTTAGATATGGTCTCACTAACATTCCTAGCGAATATACAGTGGAAGTGAAGAACAGATTTGAAGGACTAGATTTAGTAAACAGAGTCCCAGAAGACCTATGGACAGAAGTCCGAGACATTGTTCAGGAGGCGGCAACAAAGTACGTCCCAAAGAAAAAGAAAACCAAGAAGGCAAAATGGTTGTCTGCTGAGACACTGGAAGTAGCCCAAGAAAGGAGGAAAGCAAAAGGAAACAGGGATAAGGGGAGATATGCCCAGTTAAATGCGCAATTCCAGAGGTTATCCAGAAGAGATAAGGAACTATTTTTAAATAAGCAATGCATGGAAGTGGAAGAAGACAACAGAATAGGAAGGACAAGAGACCTCTTCCAGAAAATTAGAAACATTGGAGGTAAATTTCAGGCAAAAATTGGTATGATAAGAAACAAAGATGGCAGGGACCTAACAGAAGCTGAAGAGATCAAGAGAATGTGGCGAGACTATACAGAAGATCTGTATAGGAAGGATAATAATATCGAGGATAGTTTTGACGGTGTGGTGAATGAATTAGAACCCGACATCCTGAGGAGTGAGGTTGAATGGGCCTTAAGAAGCATTGCTAACAACAAGGCAGCAGGAGACGACGGGATCCCAGCTGAACTGTTTAAAATCTTAAAAGATGATGCTGTCAAGGTGATGCAGGCCATATGCCAGCAAATATGGAAAACACAAGAATGGCCATCAGACTGGAAAAAATCAACTTATATCCCCATACCAAAAAAGGGAAATGCGAAAGACTGCTCAAACTTCCGTACAGTGGCCCTTATTTCACATGCCAGTAAGGTAATGCTCAAGATCCTGCAAGGAAGACTCCAGCAATACATGGAGAGAGAGTTGCCAGATGTACAAGCTGGGTTTAGAAAAGGCAGAGGAATGAGAGACCAAATTGCCAATATCTGCTGGATAATGGAGGAATGTAGGGAGTTTCAGAAAAAGATTTACTTCTGCTTCATTGACTATTCTAAAGCCTTTGACTGTGTGGATCATAATAAATTGTGGCAAGTTCTTAGTGGGATGGGCATCCCAAGCCACCTTGTCTCTCTCCTGAGGAATCTGTACAAGGACCAAGTAGCAACAGTCAGAACTGACCACGGAACAACAGACTGGTTCAAGATTGGGAAAGGCGTACGGCAAGGCTGCATCCTCTCACCCAACCTTTTTAACGTGTATGCAGAACACATCATGCGATGTGCGGGGCTGGATGAATGCAAAGCTGGGGTGAAAATTGCTGGAAGAAACATTAACAACCTCAGATATGCAGATGACACCACTCTGATGGCCGAAAGCGAGGAGGAGCTGAGGAGCCTTCTAATCAAGGTGAAAGAAGAAAGCGCAAAAGCCGGGTTGCAGCTAAACATCAAAAACCAAGATTATGGCAACAAGAATGATTGACAACTGGAAAATAGAGGGAGAAACCGTGGAGGCCGTGACAGACTTTGTATTTCTAGGTGCAAAGATTACTGCAGATGCAGACTGTAGCCAGGAAATCAGAAGACGCTTACTTCTTGGGAGGAGAGCAATGTCCAGTCTCGATAAAATAGTAAAGAGTAGAGACATCAGACTGGCAACAAAGATCCGCCTAGTCAAAGCCATGGTACTCCCTGTAGTAACCTACGGATGTGAGAGCTGGACCTTAGGGAAGGCTGAGCGAAGGAAGATCGATGCTTTTGAGCTGTGGTGTTGGAGGAAAGTTCTGAGAGTGCCTTGGACTGCGAGAAGATCCAACCAGTCCATCCTCCAGGAAATAAAGCCCGACTGCTCATTGGAGGGAAGGATACTAGAGACAAAGTTGAAGTACTTTGGCCACATCATGAGGAGACAGCAAAGCCTAGAGAAGACAATGATGCTGGGGAAAGTGGAAGGCAAAAGAAGAGGGGCCGACCAAGGGCAAGATGGATGGATGGCATCCTTGAAGTGACTGGACTGACCTTGAAGGAGCTGGGGGTGGTGACGGCCGACAGGGAGCTCTGGCATGGGCTGGTCCATGAGGTCACGAAGAGTCGGAGACGACTGAACGAATGAACAACAACAAATGTAATGCTATATAAATCCTCCAATGATGCTCTAATGCTTTAATTCACCTTACACTGAAATTGATGCAAAGTTTTGTTTTGTTCTTTTTCTTGCTAGGCCCTAGGTGCTAAGACGAGATCTGCCACATCTTTAAAAAGAAGCGGCCTTGAAGGGACATCATCGCTTATGGCTTCCGGTCTTGCAGCTAGGCGACAGAGTAAAAGTGAACTTTCATCTACACCAAGCTTTACTGGATTTGGCAGACAGGTGATTTAAGTTATAGAAGATGGGCAATACTGTAGCTCCTTTTTATATCAATGAGAGAGGCTTACTCTGTGATACTGCCACGGGAGTTGCTGTTTTAAAAAGTAATGCTTTCTAGATCTGTTCTGGTCAAACTACGCAGCCAGACAAAAATAAGTCTTGGTGTCTTGGTTTTTAGGACCATTCCTAGGGTTATTTGGGCTGCTGATTCATACAATTGCATTGGATGGACTTCATCAGTTCTACTTTCATAGCTATGGTTATTGTGGTTTTCTGTGGGCAGCCAGATGTCAATTGGTAGGTGGCATATGTGCTAGATCTCAAAAACTTCAGTTGATAGGGGGAAACTGGTGTCATTGTTGGAATCAGCATATCGAATATACCCAGAAATAGGTCTAACATTTGAGGCACCGAAATGTGTTCGCCAGTATTTTTGATGCATATTTACTCATGCTTGAAAAGTAAAAAGGTTTGGCAAAAAGTAATTGTTGACTTGCTGTGCCAGGGTATCTGATTAAATTATAAATGTGCAAAGTTGAAGTGAACATCTTCTAATGAAGAATTACAGCTATGGTGATGTTTACAGGTGATATCAAGGAACCACAAAAGGGACATTTGCTGTCTCACCTTCTCTCTTCCCAATAGAACCAGGATGTTCTTATAAGCTAGCATTTCTCAACCTAGGTGTTGGGACCCCTGGAGCGGCTTGCGAGAGGGTGTCAAAGGGGTAACTAAAGACCATCAGAAAACACAGTATTTTATCTTGGTCATGGGGGTTCTGTGTGGGAAGTTTGGCCCAATTCTGTCGTCAGTAGGTTCAGAATGTAGTGTAGGTGAACTATAAATCCAAGCAACTACAACTCCCAAAATCTATTTTCTCCAAACTTCACCAGTGTTCATATTTGGGCATATTGAGTATTCATGCCAAGTTTGGTCCAGATCCATCATTGTTTGAGTCCACCGTGCTCTCTGGACGTAGGTGAACTACAACTCCAAAACTCAAGGTCAATGCCCACCAAACCCTTCCAGTATTTTCTGTTGGGAGTTCTGTGTACCAAGTTTGGTTCAGTTCCATTGTTGGTGGAGTTCAGAATGTTCTTTGGTTTTAGGTTAACTATAAATCCCAGCAACTACAACTCCCAAATTACAAAATCAATCCCCTTCAACTCCATCAGTATTAAAATTTGGTCTAGTGAATGAAAATATATCCTGCATGTCATATATTTACTGCAAAATTACAGTTATGAAGTAGCAACGAAAATAATTTTGTTATTTTCACCATAACTTGAAGAACTGTATTAAGGGGTTGCAGCATCAGGAAGGTTGAGAAGCACTGTTATAAGCTTGTATTGTTATTTTGTGTTTTTAAGAAAAATAATGGTAGAATGACAGCTCCAATCATCCCACCATTTTCTTATTTATCTAAAATAATCCCATGCTTCTTCCATAATTGATTACACTGGCTAGCCCTGATAGAAGCCACATAAGTTATAATGAAGTCTCCTTTATTTATAACCCACCCCCTCTCCCCGAAGGAATGCCAATCAACCCTCAAATCTGTGTGCTACAGATACCTGTCCAAGCATTCAGATCTGCCGAGGAGGCCACCTCTGTGTCCCACAGGAGCAATGCATTATGTGTGGAATTGTGTTAACCTCATTTCACCCAGCTATCTTAGTTACTGGATTGCATATGTTGTCCTTTCTTTTGTTTTTCCTCTGCTCTTTATGTTTAATGGTTTTCAAATTATTTGCTTCCTAATGACATTGGAGCTGTTTTGTTATTGACTATACACCAACACGATATCCTCTGAAGTGAAGCAGGATCGATGTAAATGAATGTACAAACAAACGTGTTTCCTTTCCTTTTTAAATGGCTTTTGCAGCTTTCCTGGAATTATTCGAAGTACCTAGAAGCGCTCCAGCAAGAAAGAGTTCTCCTGAAGATTCAGGATGATCTAGAGAAAAAAGCAGCTGTGCCACCAACTTATGCAGGTCAGCTTTTAACTGTGTTGTGCAGCTGGAGAGAGATTACTAGGGAGGCAACTTATAGCCTGCTTTCTCACAACATGAACTGAGCACCATCTTGGTATTCAATTATTTTTTCTTTTAGAGAGTTTTGGATAGCATCTACTGCTTTAAATGCAAGGTTTGAAAGAGTTTGAAACACATTGGACAACTCCCAATGGCCAATTTGGCTATGGTATTCTGGATAATGTGTAAAATAGTAAATTTTCCAAACTATGCTCAGGTGCATATTCACATCCACTTAGTAGGATTTCTTTTCACAAAGCTTTCTTTCCTCCTTTGTTCCTTTGTTTCTTTCCTCCTTTTTGGACAGTGATTGTACCCAACAAGTGCTCGCAATCTGTACCTCCCAAAGTTAGATTTCTGTCCATCTTCCAGGAGATGTATTTTGGTTGCATAATATTTATTTACTTATTTACTTACTTATCATTTATAGTATTTATATACCGCTTTTCTTACCCCTGGGGGACTCAAAGCAGTTTACACAAAAATAACGGCAAAATTCAATTTCTTACATACATAAACCAAAACTCAAACCAACAATATATAACTAGGTGTAAAATCAATAGGAAAATTAACCATAAAATAAGATAAAAGGACATTTAAAACATTAAATATAAGAATGAAAACACTTACGAAAAGCATTAAAATCACATGATCCAACTCGTAGACTGGGCCATTCCAAATGCCGATTGCACATATTCCATATTTGCTTCTTGTACTGCACTAGCCAAAAGATTGGTTCCATAACCATGTCTTTGTTCTCTTTCCAAAGGCCAGGAGGGAGGGCACTGATCTAATCTAACTGGGGAGAGAGTTCCAGAGCTGAGGAGCCATCACTGAGAAGGCCCTGTCTCTCGTCCCTGCCAACCGCACTTTTTACAAAAATGATTAAAATTCTTATAATTTTACTAAAGAAGCCTTCATGGCACCTTCCAAAATGTGTATTGGTTTTACTTTGGGATTAATCCAATAGTCCTGAGAGTGCTACCATTAAAATTATTGGAACTTGCTAGTTGCCTAACGTAAATTCCATTGATTTCTATTAGTTTAATCTAAGTAGAAATAACATTGGATTTAATTCTTTTAATTCCCATGAATTAAGTGTTTTACCTTGATGCTGTCAATGAAAGTTTGTTGTAAAATTCCAAGCTGAACACACACAGCTTATTTTTTAGATTGTACTACAATTTCTTACTGTCCATCTCATAAATCTTAGCATCGGTTCTGTTCCATGCATTCTGACCTTTAAACAGTTGAAATTGTTAATCCTCTGAAGTTCTTGGGTGTTCTGCAGATTTCAGATATTCCTTTGTTGGTGTTTCAGGGATGGCACCCCTTTTCCCGCTGAAGACCGACCACCATGTGGTCCACGCTGCACCTGAACGTCCAGTTCACACAGCACCCTTCACCTCAGCCTTTGTCAGGCAGCAACGTCCCTATCCATCCAAAGACAATGAAAGTAAGTTTCACATAAAAGGTGATTAATTCTTCCATTTCTTCAGCAAGCCACGGTTTCCCACTTCTATTAAAACTTCCATGAAATACTGATCATTCGTTAGCCAGTCCTCAAATCAGAAAGGCTTGCAATGGTTCAGGAAGCAAATGCAGATAGATTACAACCCTGTTGGTGACATATATTTGTATGATTCAAAGCTACATGCGCAGGCTGCATTTACACATTAGGATTAATGTAATCTGACATGGCTCAATCCTGGGACTTGTGGTTTTGTGAGGCACCGGCACTATTTGGCAGAGAAGGCTCAAGACTGTATAAAACTACAGTTTCAATTATTCAATAGCATTGAGCCATGGCAATTAAAGTAATGTCAAACTGCATTAATTCCACAGTGTAGATACCAACCAAAGACCCAAAACTTCCTTTCAACTATCTGGGAAGCCCCAAGGACATCTGTGTGTGTTGCTTTGAAAGTTTACCTGCTGAAGAGGGGAGGCAACTTGTGTAACCAAGAAGCATGCCATCTCAGCCGTACAGAGAAGAGAAATGGGGATGATCTTCTCAACTGAGAGTGACCTAAGTCCTTTGGTCCTTGTCTCAATGTTTTGTCATCTTTGTCATCTTGCCCCTCCTTCTTCTCTATGCAAGGATTGGTTGTGGTGGTCCTGGAACCAAACCCCAGCAGATGCCAAGGGCTCCCTGTATTATTATTATTATTATTATTATTATTATTATTATTATTATTAGAAACACAACTAGATGAGTACACTGCAAACAAGATCACTCTGCTGGCTGTTATATTGGATCACACATCGGACACTTCCCAAGTGTCTAGGACTGTGTGATGTATCGGCGAATAATGTGTGCGGATACCAGTAAGGTGGCCTTCTGCAGTGGGCAGATGGTAATTTTGTCAGTGCCGATTGTTTTTAAGTACAGGCCAAGGTCTTTAGGCACTGCACACTGTGTGCTGATCACCACTGGGACCACCTTTACTGGCTTGTGCCAGAGTCTTTGCAATTCAATCTTTAAATCTCATATTATTATGAATTATTATTATTATTATTATTATTATTATTATTATTAGTTTATTATTATAAGTGGTGTTGTTATTTTCTCTCTCAAAGCTGTTCAACAATAAAACCAGTATAATACAATTTAAAAACTAAAATATAAACGTTAACATTAACAGTATTAAAAGTAAACAGTTAAAACCCTTATAACCAGGAACCAGAACTATCTACTATCTATGGATGAGCTTGGAAAAATTATTTTGAAAGGCTAATTCTCCTAGAATCCTTGGCCTTTATGGACACTAGTCATACTCTCTGGAGGATTCTGGGAGCTTCATCATAAAATCACTTTTTCCAAAAGGAGAGGATTTTCTTTTGTTTTTACTGCCATTTGGAACTATTCATGGTTTCAACAATGGATTGTGCTCTCTAAATTTCTTTGATTTTAGAACTTTAAATTGTAAATATATTTAAGTTTTAACTTTTTATATGTCTTTTTATTATGTGAGCTTTTATTGTGTCTGTTTTTATTTTTGTAAGACACCATCATCCCACAATGTCTTAGTAATAATGGTAATAATGATTAAATAATTACAATGAGTAAGGATTAACAACTTTGTTAGTCATAGAGTTGGAAGAGATCATACGGGCCATCCAACTCAACCCCATGACATTCAGGAATATAATTGCCCAAAGTTTCTGCAATGGTTTCAAAGTCCTGATGGACTGATAGCTTTTTTCCTGCCTTGTTTAATGATGTTCTTTTCCCCTCCCTGCAAATGTAAGCAGCCCCAGCTGTATTTGCAGGCTGGCCATGAAAGCTGTGCCCTGTTGCTGCACTATTTTCACTGACTCTCTCTGTGTTTCCATCCGAGTTGCGTTGACTTCATACTCTTGTCATCCCACTCACCGTGTGTAAAAGCTGCTCATGTAGGGCTTGCATCCTCTCCCACTAGGTTTGCCAAAGTCACACGAATCACTGGCACTGGTGTAGCTTCATTACTTTATTTCATTATCGCTGATTTCCCCATCTGCACTGTGACGTCACGCCAACACACCAGGGCTCTCACTTGCAAATATTAACATTTTCACATGCTTCGGGAATGATTCAACCAGAGTTCATCCCTTTCAAGTCTCGTCTGTTTTGTTTGGAAATAGTTAATAAGCATGTGCTAAGCTACCTACTGAACTAAACCCTAGTTCTTTGGCTGAAGCTTCACTTACCTGTGGATGAACTCCACTGAAGACTGTGGCAGTTATAACTAAATCCTATACTTATTCACGTAGAAATTAAAATTTCAATAGCATGAATGTTAATTTGACAGCAACGACCTCATCATACAAGGGAATTTCAGCGCCCTAGGACACTTCTGCTCAGTTGAGCCATGGAGCCTCATGTTGTCCATCACATGATGTAGTCTCACTCCCAATGAGGCTCTATGGCTCAACTGGGGCAGAACAGGGGAGCCTCTGCATGTTCCATTAGGAACAAGGCTAGCACGGGATGAAGCCATGAAGTGATGCTTTCTCATATGTGCCCCCCACCCCACCCCAATTCACCATGGAGGCTGTCAAATTGATCCAGAGGACCTCATCAATGTGATGAGGTCCCTAGTTCAGTTAAATTAGATAGGACGTGCCTGTGAATGAACACAAACAGAATCACAATGCTATCTCTAAAAGAGATTCCACCTAAACATCAAGAAGAATGTCTTTTCTGGAAGGGCTATTTGATACTGGAATGGATTTCCTCAGAGTTTAGTAGACTCTGGGTTGTAGAGAATGCTTCTAGAACATGGCCATACAACCAAAAAAAACCTACAACAACCCAGTGATTCCAGCCATGAAAAGCCTACGACAATACCTAGTAGACTTTGTATCCCTTGAAGCATTTAAACAGAAGTTAAATGGCCACCTTTCAGGAGAGTTGTAATTGTGGATTCCTGCATGACATCCGATCTTAGAGTTAAAAAGGACTGCAAGGACCACCCAGTCCAATCCCCTGCATGGCCTTTGCAGTGCCTTCGAACTATAAGATAGAATATCCATGGAAATGAAGTCTTGCATCCAAATAAACATGTATTAAGATAGTCTTCAGTGAGGTGCACTCGTAGGTAAGTAAACATTCAACCCAAGAGCTCATGCTTTAAAATGTTTAGAATATGCTTAACCAAAGCCATCCTTCCACATTTGCAGGTTTGACTTTTGTGGTTTTGATTATCCATGGCTTTGATTAATATGTTTTCTCTAAAAAAAATTCTAGAGCCTCTAGTCCAATTCAATGCGCATCTTCCATAGTCATGCTGAAGAACCCAGAGATCCTTATAGAGCTGTCCTTTCTGATAAGAACCTAATTGGGGGGAGGGGGGGTCTTGTACCACTAACCTCCACAAAAGTAAATAGCCTGTTGTATTTTCAAGTAAAAGTGATGGGATTTAAAAGGGCTTAACTTTCACCAGACAGTTTGACTTTGATGAAAACTATAATTCTGTATTTGTTTGGAAGTGAGAAGCAACAGGTAGCTTCCATGTCAGTCAGGTAACTCTAAATTACAGTTTGAACCTCAAAAAAACTACCCTAAACATACTTTGGGAGTAACTCAATTCAGACTAAAATTTAAAGATGTGGAAGCTCCCATTCACCATTGGAAATATGCTTCCTTGGTAAACCCATTTATTTTTGCCATTTGGTGTTCCATTCATAGGAATCATAGAAT